GGGGGGGGGGGGAGAGGGGGATGATGAGGGATACAAGTCTGGAGAAAACGTTCCTTTTTGTGTGAGTGTCTCTAATGGGAAAGATAGCCTCCTGCGAGAGGCTTCAGGAAATAACATTTACATGTTTTGCCCTGTTGTTGTTTATCGGAGTCATTTATTTAAACTTGTGACAATTCACAATGTGATCACAAATACAGTTTAAAAAATATATATATGTCTGTTTGTTTAGATATCATGTTACTAAAAGCAGACCGACATCATTTATTTGAAGATTATTGTTTGAAAGATGAAGTCATGTGTAAATGACTCATAGCCGTTACAGCTGCCGGCAGTTGAGTTCATTTTATTGTTAGCGGCTGTTTGAGCTTCGTTCAAAAAACTGTTAATGTGTCTTTGTTTAACCGCTCTGACTTCCATTAGCAGCCTGATATCACGCACGCACGCACGCACGCACGCACGCACGCACGCACGCACGCACGCACGCACGCACGCACAGTTCCTGAAGGTGAATTTGCCAAAGTTAATAATCTACGAGGGAAAAATCTGAAGCACGCAGCGGCGGTTTGTCCCGGCTGTTAATGAGACACACAGGCGACAAGTTACTGATAACGCTCAGATTACAGGTTACAGGTGAGGCTCACCTTTCCTCCCCACAGGCCGGCAGGACGGCTCTCCTGAGGACGACTCCACCGGCATGGAGACCGGACGAGGTTTACCTGTGGGAGCAGACACAACAAGTTTATATACGGTTAAAAACTAAGATATGTTTAAAAACTGGTGCCTGTTGTGTTCAGGTGAACGCTCCATGTGTTCAATAAAAGAACGCTTTAATAGCAGCACACTGAAAGCGGCAAAAAGGCAAAACTGAGTAACCTTTAATAAAGTTATTGCAATATTCACCAAAATGATTTGCATGTTTTGCTCTTACAAGTATAGAAATCTGTGCGTGTGTGTGTGTGTGTGTGTGTGTGTGTGTGTGTGTGTGTGTGTGTGTGTGTGTGTGTGTGCTCACAGCGTGTAGATGATCTCTGTCTGAGGCTCACAGGGATTGGTTGGTTGTGTTCCGGCGGGCTGACGAGAGTCCTGTTATCTTCGGCGAACGTGAAGCGCCGCCTCACGTCTGCGTCCAGACACGAGTTGGGAGACTTCGGCCTCATTTTGACTCCCGAAGTCACGTTCATGTTCCCGTCTCTAACGAGGGAATCAGAGCGATTAACACTCACGTTATAACACCTGAACTTTAGTAAGAACATCCATATCATTAATAATGTTCTATGATAACGTGCAATTACGTATCTGCCACTACGTTCTTTTGCACTACTAAATAATACTGTTGATATTTACATTCATTAGGTCACCGTCTGTTTCCTGTAGATATTTAATTGCTCTTTTTGCTGCTCTGTTAGTGTACAGTTTTATTATTATGCTGCAGTGTTTATTCTATTTTTGTAACTCTGGCACGACATAAATAAATAATAAATAATGAATAAAGTCTTATCTTATCATAACATTCATCTGTCTGCAACTTACAAATTATGTATCTAATATAAGCAAGTCTTCATAGTGGCCAAACGGTGGTACTACGGCTCCTGTGTCAGTCCGTGACATCACTGGGCCCAAAAATACTTCTTCCCATTGACTTACATTGGGAAAGAGACTGAGTACTTCTCCCACCTCTGGATAATACATATGGAAACACACAGGAACAAGCTATATGAAATATAGTATATATATATACAGGACTGTCTCAGAAAATTAGAATATTGTGATAAAGTTCTTTATTTTCTGTAATGCAATTAAAAAAACAAAAATGTCATACATTCTGGATTCATTACAAATCAACTGAAATATTGCAAGCCTTTTATTATTTTAATATTGCTGATTATGGCATACAGCTTAAGAAAACTCAAAAATCCTATCTCAAAAAATTAGAATAGTTCCTCAGACCAAGTAAAAAAAAAAGATTTATAACAGCAAAACACAATCAAACATTTGAAAATGTCCATTAATGCACTCAGTACTTGGTTGGGAATCCTTTTGCACGGATTACTGCATCAATGCGGCGTGGCATGGAGGCAATCAGCCTGTGGCATTGCTGAGGTGTTATGGATGCCCAGGATGCTTCAATAGCGGCCTTTAGCTCATTAGCATTGTTGGGTCTGGTGTCTTTCAGCTTCTTCTTCACAATACCCCACATATTCTCTATGGGGTTCAGGTCAGGGGAATTTGCAGGCCAATCGAGGACAGTAATGCCATGGTCAGTACACCAGTTA